CCTCCAACCAAAATAATTGCCCACCCCTGCATTATAGTGACAAAGCTGTACTCAAGAATTTGAGAATTGTAAGGCCATTCCCCAATATGATTTGTTAAGTGATATTTGATATTATTATTTGTACCTTGATTTAAAATTTATCTGAGTTATCTTTCCTAATCATCTCATAGACACTGAACATTGTGAAAAATCACCAAGAAAAGATCATTAAAATGTCATTCAGCTGGCACAGTTTTGCATCAATTATACTGAAGTAATATTATAAAAGCAAGAAAGGAAAAACTCCTGAGAAAGAAACAGACACTGGACAAAGCCTTCTGCATTATAAAGCCAAAGAGATGACACATTTTGGCAGCCCAAATGTTCTGGGTTCCTATCTCAGTAGGATAGTTTAAAAGATTCAGTATTACAGAAGGCAAATATAGGCCACATGAATCTGGACCAATGCCCCAAATGTCATGATGCTCTCTCTGCTCTGTGACCTCTAGTACTCTGTGAATGCTGAGGCACCGTGACCCCGAAAAGTCAATTGAGGTCTACCAGTTTATAACAGCTGAGGATCTGAACCTTGGAATATATTTGTTCTGTCTCAGGCTCTGTGAGGATTCAAATTTCACCATGAAATCCTGAATATAAATTTTACAGTAAAATCATAGCCTAAATTATCAGAACAACAGAGGAATCACTTTATCTCAATAACTTCTTCAGAGTGAGCATTTAGGTAGAAATCAGAAGCAGAAAAGACCAGTTACGGTCAAATTAGGGATCCATATGAGACCACTGCAAGGAAATGGAAGATGGCATCATCAAGGGGAAAGAGCATACTCAGTGCTTATCTGAATCTATAAATAATTGACAGCAAAGAGAGACTACATGTGTCAATACGCATAGAACTACACATGCAATTAGCACCCAGCAATACACTCTACTGCACCCTACCAGCCCATGGCTGCTCTGCCCTGACTTAACATGCTGTGAACAAGTTGGCTGGGGCACAAGGGTGCTGCAGGGGCTAAATGGCAGGCAGCCCCCACACTGTGGCACTCTCATGCCTCAGCCAGCCCCGGTTATCGTCTACATGTGCATTTCCACACAAATAACTACTATAAGATAATACTAATTTCAGACAGTACTATCCTCCCACACAGATAAAGAATTTAGCGTGCCCTAATAGAAGTGCAGGGGTAGATGGTGACATTTTACTACTGAGCTAATTAGTTAGCACCACAGTAAAGCACACGCATAGATGCACCCAATATGGTCCAAAACAACACTTTTCATTTTAGGACTTTCTGCTAAGAACAGATAGAGGCCCTTTTGGGAGAAACAAGCCTCTCACCGAAACAACACAATGATTAGGGAAAAAAGGCACCAATCCCCTGCAATCCCCATTCTCTCTTTCACTTATTCATCCTTTCATTAAAATTCTATCCAAAATAATACTCACCAGAAATACTGTCACCTCACATTTAAAAAGTAAAAGGGTGCAAAAGAAACTAGAAGAATATTTCTAGTTTGAACCTGGCTAATACAGAAATGGGAGACAGAGTACCACAGGAAGTGACATGTATGATTCTGTAGGTGGATGTCCTCTTTGTCCATGCTAATCTCTCCATTCAGGAACTTTGCCTGAGATCACAAGAGGTTGAAACAATACATCTCCTCTATGTTACCCCATCACACACAGGAAAGGCAACAGTTGGAAGGAAGAAAGCAGAGTGAAATTAGTGTAACAGACATTGAAGGGTTGCTTACATGACCAGAGGGTGTCTCATGACAAGGCCTCTCTCTTCGGAGACACTGTACTAGGGCAAAGGAAACTTGTTCCAGTGGTGACCCTGTACTTGGGAAAAATGAATGTTTCCATCAGGGACATCTTGAGAGAGAGGTAAAGAGTGGAAAAACCCTGGCTGGGGTTTAAAATCAAAGAGAGTTAGAGAGAGCCCGCAAATATCCCAGCCCCAGGATTGGCTGAGAGGGTTCCTTTAAAAGTGAGGCATTTTTCTGTGCCCAGGGAGAGGGAGAGGGTTGTGCAGGCCAGGCTGCAGTGACTCGCCCGCCAGAGCTGTAGTAAGTTGCCAATGGGTCAGAGGTGCACTCAGCCCCAGGACTTGAGCTGGGGCTTTGGAGATAAGCAGCTGCCCTAATCTTTGGAGATAAGCTATTTTCCCCTAAGCAGCTGCCGGAAGAGCACGTGAGTTTGCTTGTGGGGAAGCAAGCTCTGGTTAGGGTGTGTGTGTAATTTAAGGGAGGGGTGCACAGCTGCAGAAGCCCAACCCAGCAAATCCCAGTGCTCAGATAAGGAAAGGCAAGACTTGCCAGAATTGCCCCAATTCATCATTGTGTATTTGGCCTAAAGGGATGGCGCGGGCTGTGTGTTCACACATGGGAGAAGTGCATCTGCTTTAGCCTGCAGCCCAAGCTGCATGGCCCACTGTACAGAGGCCGCAGGCCGGGGCAGCGAACACTGTATTGCAGGGACCCAGACATGGGAGTAGCTACCAGCAGTGGGGTAATGCCTCGGTTGACATGGGAGGACCCCAGCCACAAGGTACCCACTATGTTGGGGTGGGAGGAGTTGAGAACTGCATATAAATTCAGTGTGCATAAAGGTCATTAGTATGGCTTGTAAATACGTATCCAATAGTTCACGCTGTCAATATTAAGCAATTTATGTGAGTGCTTCAACCTCTAATTACTGTTTAGGCTTCTCTTTTAACCTATATTACATCTGAGAGGTTATCAGTTTGTGAACCCCATAGGCACCCAAGTGACTCTCTCTTTACCACCACTGCTCCTTTTGTACGATGGATATAGAGTTATTTTGGTAGCAATTTGTAATTTGTATCCACTTTAGTTATATCTTGTTCTGTATATAATTACAATTGGTGGTTGCAAAGGGTTTGTAAATATAAAGGGGCCCTTCCTGCCAGAAAGCCCCATTTCAGCTCCTAGAAGAGCCAAGTGTGGCTTACACTACTGGGCACCCCAGGATTCCAACACTCAAACGTGGCCCACGGGTAGCGCCGTGCGCCAGGGTTACATGAATTTAACTAAATCTGACATGAAGCATAAGCTTTCGTAAGCAGAAAGCTTACTTCACCATATTGTGAAGGACTACAGGGAAGCAGGGTTTCTAAATAGAAATCAATGATTAGAAAACAAAGGATAGGGAAAGGGAAAGGAAAAAGGAGGGTACACTGCTGACAGAGGCAAGTGGATAGGAGAGAGAAAAAAAGCAGTTAATCCATTGCGGGGTATAGGGGTATACAAACTAATCCAAGTAATGGGATAAGAATCTAGTTTTGGCTTTAAACCATTCTTAACACAAACCAGTCTACGGATGATTTCTTGTTCTGTAATTTTCTGTTCAAGTTTAGAAGATCCATTTCTTATTAGCAAGTTGGAGATATGCATAAGCATTCCCTTCTTTAAGCATTTCCCCAATGTAGGGCATGCAGGAGCTTTTTGTTTTATTTTACTTGTACTCTGTCTCCTGCACAGCTGGTATCTGTAACTTCCTACAGCAGATGAAATTCAGAAGACAACAAATAGGTTGGGCTTAAATAGGGCATAGAATTTTAATAACCCATCTCAACAGCAAAGGGTAGACTTAACACTTCACTGTGTTCCCAATTAATAATTACTGATTTTGAAATAAAGTTTGGTATAAATGAATCAGCTTGTTTTCAAAAGCAAAAGCAGACAGGTCTGTATTAAGAGTAGACTATGGGTTTTTTAAAACGTTTTTAGACCATGTGAAAAACCAATTTGTTCTAATACATTGGCACTTTGTTTTTAGAAGGACCATCTCATTAGATAGGATAAACCATTATTAGTGGTTAAAATGTTATTTTTACCAGAAATACATATCATTTTCTTAAGTATCAGTTACACAATGTAGTTTAGTCACAAGCTTGATTTAATATTAACTTGATTACTGCAATGATGGAAAGGAATTAAGCATCTGATCTAAAAGCAAAAATATTTTTATGATTAAAACTATTAAAAATACACAACAAAAACAAATGTGTGCATGTGGGGGCATGGAAAGCTACTAAGTATAAGGGCTCACATTTTGATTTCCCATCATCCCCTTCTGAAACCTTTGTCTCCCTCTATGACCATCCTTCCACTGGCTCATTGTCCATTTTCATTGCCAGATCAAGGCCTTCAGAGTGGGTCAAGATGTATCTATACCAGAGGTGGTGTAAAGGGAGAGTTGGGGCTGAGGCTGTGGAGAGGGAGGAGGACAGGTGGCAGGGAGCAAGCTGCCTGACCCCCAACCCCCCCCCCTTCCTTGTTTGCCCCTCTGCCTTCCCCACCACCAGCCCCCTACCACCTCCACACTGCCTCTCCCATACTATTCTCCCCCACTGCCTACCATACTGTATGCTCCCCCATGCTTCCTCCACTGCCTGATCCTCTAATACCTCTGCTTTTCCCATTGCAGTGGTAGTGGAGACAAATTTAAGATGACCTACCCAGTAATTAGACTCTATACATGGGAAATTGGGTGGGGGGGGGGAACCTCCTCCAGCAAGGAACAAGGTATGCATTCTGTTCTTACTTCCAGTCACTCCAATTTAAACCAATGTTACTCGTAAGAGCATTTGGGTCACTATATAAATGGATAGTTTTTATTTCTTGTTACTTCACTTTTTTGAGCATGTATTAATACTATTTTTGTGCTATTATTTTACTAATAAAAATCAGGCTCTCTTTTGCAGTGCAAAAATAATGACCCCCAAAATTAGATAAGAGACGGGGTAATTAAAGCACACATTGTCTTTCAAGTGCTTCATATTGAAAGAAATCCTCTTGTAGTAGTGGAGAGGCTTGTGTGTTCCGATGAACCTCAGAGCTATGTTATCTGGAGTCTTGTACTCCTGGTAGGGTCTCCCCTGGTGAACAGATCTGAGGTGAGGTCCCAGACTAAGCATGGTCCAAACTCCTGAACACCCCAATGACAGAACAGGCTTACTTGAGGATCTGCTGGTTCTCTGTAGCTTTGAAGGTGGATGAGGACTGAAGAGGGATGGAGGTCTCTGGTTGTCTTGGACATCCTTGTCACTGGGTTTAGTGCTCCCAGGGAGAGGGAGAGGGTTGATGAAGGGCAGCTGAAAGAAGAAATTGGCTAGACCTTTTTTAGGAAAGGAAAAAAGTCATCTGAACAGGCATTCACAGGGATGGCTTTGCCATTAAGAACAAGATTGTTACTCAGCTTTCAAAACTCCCTGTGGGCATTAATAAATCTCCACCTCAAACTCAGTAACAACCAGTATGCTATGGTCAGTGTGTACACCCCCACACTTGACAATGTACAAGTCAACAAGAAACAGTTCTGCTGTGCTGACTGCCACTACCAAGAAAACAAGCTCATCCTCATGGGTGACTCCAATGGAAGAGTTGGGAGACACTTTGAACTCTGGAGTAGCACCATTGAGAAAGAGGGGGTGGGGAAAGTCAACTCCAATGGTATCCTCTGTGGTGGGCCAATAGAGGGTGCTCCTGCATTGAGCCATCCACCTCACTGCACCCAACCACATTCCAGGCTCAGAGTGCCTTCCTGGGGGCGCCTCACATCTGGCCAACTCCTTCCTGGAGTACACCCACCAGCCTGGGGGTAACACCACCACCACCCATGATCTGGATTGATCTTGGCCCTGTGACCCCTCAGAAACAGTCCTAGTAGTCCTAAAGGGTACTTGACTCACTGCAAGAACTTGGGGTGCTTCCCTCAGTCTGAAGCACAAATAGTATTCTCCCTTAGTCAGCCAAACTAAGGGGACCCCAAGGCATAATCTAGACCCTCTCCCAATAAGTCTCCCATGCTAGGTACAGAGGAGAATGTTATTGGTTACAAGGAGTAGGTTTGGAATAGGGTACAGGGTAGAGCAATATCAGAGAAATCCCTTAGAGCAAACAGTGGCATGGTAGCCTTTGATCACGCATCCGAGTTACTGTAAGCTATATATCTAGTTAGATCTCAAGTAGCTTCCTCACAAGTATCATCCAGAGGCAGGAGGAGATTCCTTCTGGAGGCAAGCAGTTCATAGAACACAAGTTTCAAGAGAGAGAGAGAGAGTTTTAGATGGCCCAGCATCTCCGAGAGTTCTCATCATGGATGCTGCCCCCTCCTCCTGGGCAGTCTTAGCTTATATAGATGTTATAACCTCGTTTACCTGATCCAATGAAGGCCAGCAGTTGTTGACTGTGAGCCAACCAATTTGAAATGCATCACTGGTTGCCGGGTAGACTGGCAGGGTCTCCAGCCCCCTTCCAGTCATGATGACATTGCTTAGGACAACAGGGAGTTTAAGCCCCCTGCCCTCCAGGTATGTGAGGCTAGTCATGTATGCAAAGGGAGCAGGTTTCCCCCTCCCTCAGGAATGCATCCAGCTCAGGTTACAACTCATGGTTACCTGAAACTAATGGGGTCAGGGGTGTCTTCACTCTGCGGTGACCATGGTAACCAAATTGTCAGATTGGTCATCAGCCTGATAGCAGAGTTTGGGGAGAGACAGAGATGGCATTCTGCCACATCCTCCTCCTCAGCAAATGTACAGAGCATGACTTGCTCATCACAAATAACGTTTTCAGACAGAGTGACAAATATAAGATCACTTGGAAACATCCACACCCCAATCACTGGCACTTTCTTGTCTATATTATTGCCAGGGCCCATGATCATAATGATATTAGTTAGTATCACCTAAGTCCTAAGGAGGTGTAGATGACTGCTGAATGGATCACCATTTAGTCAGATCAATCATGGACATGCAGCTTGCACCACAACACTGTAAACAGCCAAAAGGAATATGGAAGAAATTTAACATCAAGGCACTCCAAGACCAAGGCTCTTCAACAATGCCTTAATAAGGGGCTCTCTGACCTACCTGATGACATCAAGGACATCCAAGCACATTGGGAGGAACTTAAGAATGTTATTCACAAGGCATGCATTGAATCAAACGGATACTCCACTTATCGTCACCAAGACTGGTTTGACACGAACAATGAGAAAACCCTAGCACTTATCCATCAGAAGAGAAACATGCCCTTCAGTTGGCAAAATGAACGCTCCAACCAGCAAAAATGAGAGGCTTACCACTGGCTCAAAGCTGTAGTTCAGAAGAGGTTACGGGACACCAAGAACCAGTGGTGGCAAGCAAAGGCCATGGAGATCCAAGAGTTTTGCTGACCAACATGACATGAGAAGCTTCTTTCAAGCAATAAAAGCCATCATAGGCCACATTCCAAAGGCCTAACCCCTTTACAATACCAGGATGACTCCATCCACCTCATGGATAATGTATCCATCAAGCAACATTGGAAGTAGCACTTCAAGACTCTTCTCAACAATGAATCTGAGGTTTCAGCTGCCACCACTGAGTCAATCCCTCAACATGCAGTAATAGAACCTATTGCTGATCCCCCATCCTTCAAGGAAGTCTCATGTGCCATCACTCAGACTAAGAACAATAAGGGACCAGGCCCAGATGGTATCTCCACAGAGTTCTTCAAAGCTGATAGAACAGCACTAGTGCAAAAATTTCACAACTTTTCATTAAAATATGGCTTAATAAAGAAGCTCAACCTGACTTAAAGAATGTCGACATTATGACCATCTTCAAGAAAGGGGACAAGTCAGCGTGTATGAGCTACTGAAGCATTGCCCTCCTCTCCATTGCCGTGAAGATTTTTATTTGCATCCTTCTGAATGGCCTCCTCCCCCTTGCCTAAGATGTCCTTCCAAAATCCCAGTGTGGCTTTAGACTATCTCAGAGTACCACCAACATGATTTTTGTTGCACAACTAATCCTGGAGAAGTCAAGGCCTTTGACTCCATCAATCATGAAGCCTTATGGAAAGTCTTAGCTAGGTTTGGTTGTCCACTAAAGTTCAGTGTCCTCAGGCTACTCCACGACAGGAAGACCGCCATTGTCCTTTTCAATGGATCAGAGACAGACCCATTTACTACCCATAGTGGTGTCAAGCAGGGCTGCATCATTGCCCTACCCCTTTTTTCCATCCATATTGCTGTGATTTTGATTCTCATCCATGACCACCTTCCTTCCAGAACTGGGGCTGCGTATCAGATGGACAGTCACTTTTTCAACCTGCAGGACCTTCACAGCAAACCAACAGTTATTAATACTGACATCACCAACCTTCAGCATGCTGATGACCGTGTTATCCTCTCACACACACACACACACACACACACACACACACACACACACAGATTGATCTGTAGTCCACCCCTTGGCCTTTTCTCAGGTGCCTATCACAGCCTGGGACTCTCCCTTAACATTGGGAAGACCAAGGTGCTCTATCAGCCTTCCCTAGCACAAGCTGCTCCCCTCCCCAGAAAATTACCATTGGTGTAGAACCCCTGGAAAACACTGAGCATTTTCCATACCTTGGCAAGTCACCTCTCCCAGTCAGTCAGTCTTGATGTAGAAATTGAATTTGCTGTACCAGTGTATCTTTTGGAAAACTGCTTTGCCATTTCTTTGCTGACTGAGATTTGCAGACAGAAACCAAGATCCTGGTCTACAATGCAATGGTTATTCCCACACTCTTCTATGGGTATGCGATGTAGGTGATATATCAAAGCCATATTACACATCTGGAATGGTTCCACCAGTGTTGCCTGCAAACTGGGAAATGCTGGTTGGTAACACGTCTCAATGGCACTGCACCATACATCAAGCTACAGCCCACTTTGAAGAGAACCGTCTTCCTCAGGAATCCGAGAAATGGCAGAGGAGGAAGGAAAGCACACAACACCTTGACCAACACATGTGCACCCCACACCCCCCAATGGGGGGAGGGAGGGGGAAAAATGTAGAATTTGCATTTTTACAGAGAATCTTTAGAATCACTGGGGGGAAAAGAAAACTTCCTGAAAATAAAATGCTGGGAGCCAGCAGTTCTCATGGCTGCTGTGGCAGGGAGAAACTGCCAGCACACAGGCAAGCATCCAAGATGGCAGCCATTTCCTCCTCCCTCTGCCATGATTGGCCAAGAGGGTTGCCCACTGTGTGGCCAATCAGCAGTGAAAGGTGGTACCGCATGAATGGCAGCCCCCTCAGCCATTCAGCAGCAAGGGGTGGGGCTGCCACTAGAGCAACTCAGCTGGGGGGGGGGGGGGGGCTCATGACAGAAAAAACAGATGTTTTTACGTTTATTTATTGGAGAATTTGGGGGTTTAAATCATGGAAAACTAGGATGCCTGCTAATAAATGCTTACTGTATGCAGTACTGCCATGTTTTGTTAAATCATCTGTCATAAGAATATCAGTAGTGGCAGACCATCTAGCCCAGCATTCTCTCTCTGAAAGTAGCAGTAATGGATACTTCAGTAGGAAAGCATATGAACAGGATAAGTCTCATGGGATCTGTCCCGTCATACCCTCCCTAGTATCCACCATCATTGGTTTAGAGATACCAGAGGATACATCCCTGAATACCCTATTTAATAGCCATTAATAGATCTATCATCTAGGAATTTGTCTAGTCCCTATTTGAACCTGGTTATGCTACCTGCCTCTCCACTTCTCTATGGTAATGATTTTCACAAGTTAAGTATTCACTGTATAAAAAAGCACTTTATATTGTTAGTTTTAAACCTGTTTCCTGCTAATTTCAATGAGTGCTTCCTAATTTTGTATTGATTGTGTGTCTTTGTCTTTTCCTTCCAAATCTATTTATTTTTCTTCCCCTGAACTACTGTCATTTTTTTCCTCATCTTTGCCAAATGTCTTGGGCAATCCCTACTCATGAGCCAACATTTTCTTTTTTCCATTGGTCTCTCCTATGTTGGACTTTAGGCTGCTGTTTTCAGGGCTCTCATTGTCTCTGAAACTTTGTGCTTCTTTTACTGCTGACTCCTCATTTTTGGATCCTCTCACCTTATAATCCTGTTCTGTGTTAAACACGTAACGTTGTAACATGCCGAAGTTTCAGTCTTGCATCTGTTCCTGTTTCTCTCAGCACTGACAGGAGCAAGTAGGAGCAAGCAACTACGTGTTTGTTGTGGAGAATCCACATATGTTTGTATGATACTGTTCAGTGAATACTAAAGTGGACTCTCTTGCTAGAAAGCCCCCAC